ATTCCATCACAAAACCTAACCCTAAACAGCCTGTAGATCTGAATGTTAATGACGAAAACATAGATTCTTTTGATCATGTTGCTCCTGCTGTTGATTCTGTTGATTACGTCTCCTCCGAAGATCTAAAACCCCTTTCTGACCCTGATGTCAAGTTCCAGGTAAATATCATTTCGTTTCAGTGATTACTTCGAAACTCAATTCAGTTATATCTCATATGAAAATCTAAACTCATTTCAGTTATATCTCAATCTTCCATCTCTCTCGGCTCTATTCTCTTTCAATGCGCGTGGTTACAAGTACACATCTAGGCGCCACCACTCTCTGCTCAAACGTAAACCTTTTTTTTTCTCTCTTTGAAATCTCGAATTGATTAAATGAGATTTAGGGCGTCGTAATCTCACTACCTTCTACCATCGACGACAACGAACGTTTTCTCATTGACGACGGAACAGTCGTGGTTGAACTCTCTCTTTCCCGTGATTTCCTAAATCGCACTTGGAAATTAGGTCACCATTACTAACCCCCACCAAGTTTGGTGTTTCTTCTGTTCTTATTTATCAAGTTTTACCGTTCTGATTGGTTTGCATTTTGCAGGTGCATCTGTAATGGTTGGCGGAGGTTGTAGTGTCCGTGAAGATGATCTTCCCTAATCAAGGTAAACCACATTAATTTCATCATAATTTTAACTTTTAAATTTTATTAATCTTTAATGCGTTAATATTTCAACATATGGTTTGAGGTAATTTGTCATTGTTGCTATGCAGGAGAGGAGCTATGACGGATTCATGTGGCATCAGTGAGTTGAAATTGAGAGTCAATGTCTATTTTGAATAAATAGACAAAACAGTAAGAGTATTAGATATATTAACAAACGAATGTCTCAAGATTAATCAGTGCAAAGATCTATTGTCAATATTCACACACATGGAGGTAAATAAACATCAAACTCCAAATTATCTTTTAATTTCTATTTTATTAAACTATTTATCATCATTTCTTATATACTCATGTTTTGAATGAAACTATTAATTCACATGTGATTCACATGTAAATCATATGTGATTCACATATAAATCATATGTGATTCACATGTGAATCATATGATTCACATGTGATTCACATTTTAATCACATGTAATTCACATATGATTCACTTGTGATTCACATGTAAATATGAATTACATGTGATTCATGTGTAAATCACAAGTGAATCACATATGAATTACATGTGATTCACATGTAAATAACATGTAATTCACATATGAATTACATGTGATTCACATGTAATTCACATATGATTAATTTGTGATTCACATGTAAATTACAAGTGAATTACCTATGAATTACATGTGATTCACAAGTTAATCACATATGAATTATATGTGATTCACATGTAAATCACATGTAATTTACATATTAATCACATGTAATTCACATGTAAATCACAAGTGAATCACATATCAATTACATGTGATTCACATGTAAATCACAAGTGAATTACATGTGATTCACATGTAAATCACAAGTGAATCACATATGAATTACGTCTATATGCACACATGCATTTTGTGTAAGTGTTATTCGTTAATTATTTTTTAAAATTTTCTTGTGAATTTCACATTTAAATTTTAAAAGACACAATCACATGTGAATATCACATTATATAATCACATGTTAATCTTACATGATATATACATGTGCGTGTTCTTGCATTAATCAATTTTTTTTCCTGTAGATTTTGAAGAATTTTTGGAAAATATTGAAGAGATGAAAAGTTATAAATTGAAGAAAATATGGATATGTTGATATGAAGAAATGATAACACTGTGAATCTTTGTAGTTTTTTTATATTTTATTTTGTATCGAATAAAATACTTGTATTATGTTTATAGATTGATTAATAAAAATGAGATTTTTTATAATTTAGTTACGAATATTATAGTATAAGAAATATGCATATATGCATATGAAAAAATATGCATATATGCACCTAAAATGTTGAATTTTTTGTTAAAAAATGTAGTTTTGAAAAAAAGTGCACTTTTTTATAAAAATCGTAGTTTTTTTTTTTTGAAAAAAAATTCAGTTTTTCTGAAAAAAAAAATGCAGCTTTTTTGAAGAAAAAAAATACAATTTTTTTCTAGAAAAAATGCAGTTTTTAAAAAAGAATGCAGTTTTTTTTGAAAAAAAAAATTCAGTTTTTTTTTTTAAAAAAAGATGCAGTTTTTAATTAATATATTTTTTTTTGAAAAATTCATGTTTTTTGGAAAAAATTAAAAAATCTCCATTTTTAAAAAAAATCGAAAATTATTATTTTTTTTTAAAAAATAAATCCGAAATTTTGAGTTATTTTGTTAATTTTTAGACATTTATATTAATATATTAAATAACACAAAAAATAATTAAAGATTAAATGAGATTGGTAAGATGACGATCATGTCCTTAATAAATTAGTTTTGATCCAACGCTCCACTTTTAGTTTTCGGATTCTCGGGAAATTTTGAGTTCTCAACCGATCTCAACTATATATATATATATATATATAATTATATATATATATATATATTATAATATATCTATCTATATATATATATATATATATTGGAATGAAAGAAATTGTTACGAGATATTTATCAAGATGCTAAATTCAAAATACTTAAACTTATTATCGATAGAAAAGATAAAGGTATGTTAATATTAAACGTGAAATGTGTCGTTTAAAACTAGAAAAAGACTGAAATATGTTTTAATTTATGTAGGTAACATAATATTTTGTCAAGAACATAAAATGTATTTTTGTCAACGAACTTTTGAGAGGTTTTGAGTTTTAGTTTTTAAACAAAAACATCCTAATCTAAAAGCTTATTTCAAATTGCTTTTAGTGTTTATATCAATTTATATTTTTAAAAGCTTCAAGCTAGTTTTTCGAATATTTTTATATAAATAAAAGCTAGTTTTTCAAATTGTTTTTAGTGTTTATATGAATTCATATTTTTAAAAGCTTCAAGCTACTTTTTCGAATATTTTTATATAAGTAAAAGCTACATATTTTAGATTCCAATTATGTAGTCAATTACCAACTAACTATTTTTACCAAACACTCAAGATAAGGTGTTATAATCTCATACTTGATGTGATACCAACAATTTATAAGTTTTGGTATATAATATGCGATTAATTTTATTTGAATAATTAAATTTTGTTAATTTGATAATATTATATTTCAAACGTTTAATTAGTATTGAAATTAAGTAGAAAGGGGTTAAATAATATTAACAATAATAATAAGCTAAATTAATAAATAAAAAAGGATTAAAAAGAAATTTTAAATGATGAAAAGATATAAAAATGAAACTTGAGGGGGTTCAATTGAAGGTTTTATAAACCAAAAATGAAATGAAATTGAGTTTGAGGGTTGCATGGGAAAACTGTATTGGATAAGGGACTATTTCTGCTAAATTTGGAAACTTGATCACATGTTTCCATCTCTGCATCCATGCAGCGAAATAGAAAGATTCTTTTCTCAAATTCACACCTGAAATTTGGGATTCCTTCGAAAGCAATCTGATCTTAACCTCAAATATATTGTAGACTCTTTCCCATTAGTTCGAATCCTCTGCAACACACGCCGGATAAGATTTGTTTTTGTGAAAGGGCAGCGTATGCGTATCACATGCAACAACTCATATGACCTTTGTTTTGTTTTTTGTGTTTCAAAATCATACTTACAATAATGGTCCCTTATTTTTATCTCTTACTTCCATGAGACCCCTAAATCCACATTCTTTTTTTATATTTAGTGTATTTATAAACGTGTTTGATGTGGTCTAGATATGGTTAACTTTAGTAAAAAAATCCAATCTTTTGGTATATTAATTAGTCTATTAAAATCGATATCCACACTTTAAAAAAAAAGAAAAAAAAAAAGAAAGAGGAGACATAGGGAACACTATTTAATATGTTAAATATGAGTATATATGTTAAATATGTTAAATATGAGTATATATGGTAACACTTTTTTGTCATATTTTAAAGATTATAATTAGTTAATATGTTAAATATGAGTATATGTGTTAAATATGAGTATATAAACAGTATGATTACAACATTAATTTAAGTTTAAAAAACCAAACCATTTATGATTTTTTTACTAATAATAATACATTTTAGATGACATTTGAACAATTTTCATTTTAATTATAATTCAATTTCTCAAATTTTTCGAAAGAGAAAATATGAAATTATGAAGATTTCTCAAAAAATCCGAAGCATTTCTCTCCAAGAATGAGAAACACAAAATCTAAAAAAAGTTGCATTCGATTTAATAAATTTGTATTTCTCCAATTAATCTAATATGAGTAACATAAAACTCCCATTATACCCTTTTATGATCCCATTATACCCTTTTATGATGTATATGATCCTATGGATAAGGTTGTACAAATCATTTAACTTTACTTACCAAAACCAGTAACATAAATAAACAAAAAGCAATACTATATTTCTTAAAGTATAATTCATTTCATTAAAAACTACCAAATTTTATTATAGACGGTCCTATGTATTTATTTATTTATTATTTATTATTATTATTATTATTATTTTTAATATTTTGGTTAAATTTTAAGTTTACCAAACATTGATGTTTTATTTTCCAAGTTTTACAGGTAAATGTTTGAAATTCTCTAGAAATTCTCTGAAATGACTTTTTTTTTTCCTAATTATTTCATGCTACAAGCTTTTCATGAAGATGACCGCTATAACCCTCACCCTCTCACTTTCAATCTTGAGCTTCTTTTTGTTATATTACTACATATTTTGACTCAATTTATGAGTTTGTCTGATTTGCAATATATGACTTGTTTGCCGGAAAAGTGCCAAAGGGACGTGAGTTGTTTGGTAGAATAAGAACACATAGGAATTAAAAAAGAGACAAACTTAGTTGTTGGGGCCTGAAACTATAGTTATTTAACATTAAAGCGACAAAGTTTCAGATTGACACTGCTAAACAAACCACACAAGAAAAAAAACCAAGAAAAAACACAAACGAAACAAACCACACAATAACACAAGAAAAAAATACCAAGAAAAAACACAAACAAAACACAACAACATCATAATCATCATCATCATCATCCTCCTCCTCCTCCTCCTCCTCCAAAAACACAAGAAAAAACCAAAAAACTTCCGTCAGAAAATAAAACATGATTTGCACCAATATAAAGTTTAAATTTAAATAAAAATTAACAAAATAACCTGTTACACACTTTGATCGGGCTAATGCCTCTTACAACATTTCCCTGAAGAACACAAATTACACCCGCACTTAACACAATACCCAGGCTCTACTTCTAGTGGTATTGTAGGAGAGCCACCAGCTAAATTAGTTGACCCAGAGGCCTCACCAAAGTTCATACGTAAAGTTCCAGGAGGAGTGGTTGGGGAGTCTGGAGCGGTAACTCCAGACATCTCCGCAAACACAGCATCGTGCAACTGTTGTTGGTCGTATGGAAGCAAAGACGAGTCCCTCGCTAAATCAATTAAACAGCGTTTTTTACACTCCTCGCCCTCCACTGTAATACTTCTTTGGGTTTTTGCATACATCTTACCTTGCACAGCTCCTGCAACTAGATTCCAGTCGTTCACGCTAAATTGTCTAGGAACTTTTTCGACGGTGTTTCTAGTTTCTAAAACTGCCTTAAGAAGTTCCACATCATCGTATTGTCGCGACATCTGAAAATACATTGATTATATAAGCAAGAATACTTAATAAAGATGTGAAGATATGTGATATTCTGAAAATCATATACAAAACATATACCTTCTTCTTTTCGGGCTATGGCAGCAGCTGGGCAGATATTTGGGTTGTTGTTGTTGTTGTGGTGGTGAGCCTCCTCTCCTTTTATAAGAGAAGGACAATGGCCTTGATTCAATTTTTTCAATTATTCATCTCAGTAATTCGAATCCTCTGCAACACGCCATACTTGTTTTTGTGAAAGGGCAGCCTATCATATGCAAGCATAAGGCCTTTGTTTTGTTTTTTTTTTTTTTTTCTTTCAACAGCATAGTTACAATAATGGTCCCTTATTTTTATCTCGGTCTCGTTAATATTAGTAAAAAATCCAATATTTTGGTATATTAATTAGTCTAGTAGAAACCAAATTCATACGTTTTTTTCTTTAAAAAAGTGGAAACAATTAGAAGACTATTTAATGCTAAAATTGTCAAACACTTTACCAATTATAAAAACTGAATGAAAGTTATACACCTGGTAGATGCGGCTAAATGAAAAATTGTGTTGAGTAATCTGGTAACACCTTTTTGTCACATTTTAAAGATTATAATTAGTTAATATGTTAAATATTAGTATATAAACAATATGATTACAACATTAAATTAAGTTTAAAAAACCAAATATTTTACTTATAATAATACGTTTTGGATTGCATTTGAACAATATAATTCAATTTCTCAATTTCTTCAATAGAGAAAATATGAAATTACTAAGATTTCTCCAAAAAGCTTAAGCATTTTAATCTATAAGAATGAAAAACACAACATCCGAAAAAAAAATTGCATTCAGTTTAATAAAATGATATTTCTCCGATTAATCTAATATCAATAACATAAAACTCCCATTACACCCTTTTATGATCCATATGATCCTATGGATAAGATTATATAAATCATTTAACCTTACGTACAAAAAACAGTAACATAAATGAACACAAATTGTAACGTCCCGAAATCCAAACTAAAAATTTATTTTTAATTATAATATATGAGAGTCACCAGTTACTTATTTTGAAACTGATACATTACAATCAGAGTATAAATTCCAGGACAACATGTCAAATGCGAAACATAAGGTGTGCGTGTCATGCAGTCAACTCGAGCTCTTCCCTTTGAAAACAAAAAGTAACTGAAACATAAACTGAAAACCGTAAGCTCAAAGCTTAGTGAGTCCCCCACGATACCATACATAAACTGCCACGACTGCCTCCGTGGTCTTTCATATAACTGCCCCGACAACCCTGAGGTCTTCTATATACTTGCTCTGGTAACCCCCCGAGGTCTCCCTTTATCCGCCCCGGCAACCCCGAGGTCTTCCACACCTTTGCCTCGGCAACCCCCGAGGTCTTTCATACATCTGTCCTGACAAACCCCGAGGTTTTTCATAGAACTGCCCCGGTTACCCCGAGGTCTTCCGTACAACTGCCCCGACTACCCCGAGGTCTTCCATACAATCATCACACATACAACAAGCATAACATAACCTATTCTAATTGGTTGGCATTGGTGCCTTCAACCCACATAAACAGTCCAGTAAGAAGACTCACCTCAAACGTTACGTGAACCCTACATTGTTGTTGCTGCACCGGCTCCTCGAACTAAGCCCAAAAACCAAAACAAATCAGTTAATAACTTATAGCTTACCCAAGCACTACGTCGAAAGATGGCCCAACCATCCAGGCCTACTAACGGCCCAAGCCCATTGGGCCTTCTAAGGACCAAATCCATTGGGCCCACTAAGGCCCAATACCGAAACCAAGGTCCAAAAAGGTAAGCCTAATAACAAGTCCAAATCTGAATAAAGTCCTCAACCATAAATGGGTCCAAAAATATATAAGCCCAACCCATAAACAAAACCCCAAAGCCCAAAAGTGGGAAGAAGCCCAAAATTGCATTGTTCGCTTTACGCTCGGCGTAACCCTGGTACGCCCTACGTACCGGGCTGACTGGCTGGCAAACGGGTTGGCTCGCGCGTATGCTCAGCGTACCACTATGTACGCCCCGCGTACGACACCATTAAGCTAAACTTCCATTAATCCCTTATTGCTTAGGACCAGAAGTCCAAATCTTAGATCCAACTCTTAATCAACATCTGGAACCATAAAGTCATGGACTTGGTGACTTTGAATGCCCCACAAGGACCTAAATTCAAGAAACAACACTCTACTTTCACTAGATGGACAACACCTTATGCATGGATGATTCTCAACCCTGAAGGTGGCAACTTTATGAACTTATAACCTCAGAACTGCTAAGAGTAGCAACTCAAGGCTATTGGAGTGGTGTCCAACCACTAGATTTCATCCATGAGATCAAAATGGGACCAAAACTCACATAATCTTAGATCTCAACTTCTAATGAGCAAGGTTAGAACCCTTTACCTTTAATAAGCTGGAAATGGAGCAAAGAGTTAAGATCCACAAGCCTTCCTTTGATCCACCACCTTACACAAAGCTTTCACTCTTGAATATTCACGAAAACCCACCAAAGATGCACACAAAGAGCTCATAACACTCTTGGATGAGGCTAGGGTTCAAGATTAGGGTTTTAGGACAATAAAGGCTGACAGAGAGGCTAACACCTGGGACTTAAGGTGTTTATATAGTGAGCCAACCCTAAATTTTACGGTTTTGGAATCCAGCTCATTATGATGGGCGTACCAACTATACGCTGGGCGTACATCCCCCAACACCAGCATCCACTTTTCCTCATTACGTGGGGCGTACGTCCAAAATACGTTGGGCGTAATTGACAACCCACGCTTTTCAAGCACTCCAAGGACTAACTTGCAACATTTACATCTTCAAGGCTTAATTGCAATACTTTATAACTTAAAGGGTCTTAAAAAACACTTAGAAATTCCCTAAGGTTACAAATCTCCCCCACTTGAATCAAACTTCATCCTCGAAGTCCGCAGCCGAAACTAACTCCGAGCAAAGCTCCCACATTTCCTTCGCAGACCCTCATGCTCCCTCCGAACCCTTTCGATGCTAACACCGATTTCCCATTAATCCCACTACCTTAGGCCTTCTTTCCTGAACACAAATCGCTACCGGTCTCTCCCAAAACACCTGAAATTGACTACTTCAATATCCTACAAAGGGTCCACTAAAACTTATCAACCAAACAATTCCTCGACTAATAGACATGAACGGTGATATGGGTCCAACTGAGCTCCTTCGGCAGCTCCGACCGATGTACAACCCTGCCCATCCGGTCCAAAACCCAAAAAGGTTGTCAAAAGACATGAGAAATTAACTCCCACCAATACCTGGCCACTCATTCTGAACCCAGGAAATTACTGATACCCAAAATACATACCCCAACCATTCTTGATCTAAAACCGAACCACTAAGGATTACCCTGGTTCAACAGCCACTATGGCTACCTTAGTCATTCTGATTCTAATAAACTTTCCAACCCATCACAATACAAACGATCACTCGAGAGATTCCTACTAGCTAATACACAAACCTACCAATCTAGTGTGTGCTACGACTACCCCCCTGTAGTCTTACAACACTGTTGATACTTCTCCTCAACCTAGTGGATGCTACGACCACCTCCGCAGTCTTACAACACTTCCGTTACAGCTTATCAAACTAGTGAATGTTACGACTACCTCCGCAGTCTTACAACACTTCCACTCCTGCCATGGACTCACCCCATGGTCTTCTCACCACAAACCCGATGCTGCATGTAGTCGAAAGTTAGATAGACGGTCGAACTGATGGTCCACCTGAGAGAAAACAATCAGACAAGAACATCCCAAATAGGCATCAAACTAAGAGTTCTTGGGCTATCCAACATCACTACATATGATCCCAAAACTATTACTAATTCCTTGCAACTTTTAATTACGAAGAGCTTGACGATCTCTCTCCTAATCATGAATTTTGGTTCGATCAATTCTTGGATTTGTTCCCTCATCCCCAGTGGTTTTCCCCCACTTGGATTCTAAGTACCACTTCCCATCCTAACAATGCGGGAATCCTCCATCTGGCCCAAAAAAACACAAGCACTTAGAAGACCCACTCGAAACATTAGGTCAACCACAATCAATGACAAGAAAAGGACTGGCTCAACAAAGAAATTCCACACCACAAACAATACATCCAATAATCCACACAATTAACAAACTTCCATAAAAGTAGACAACCAATGAACGATAAACTTATTCCAAACTGATCATAATACAAAATCCATCAAGCTCATCGTCATCGCCATCGTCATTATTGTCATCGTCGTCATCATCATCCTCATCATCATCATCATCATAATCATCATCATCATCATCATCATCAACAACATCATCATCATTATCATCATCATCGTATTCCTCGTCGTCGTCATTGTCTTCATCGTCCTCATCATCGTTGTCGTCATCATCATCATCATCATCACCTCTATCATCAACAAAATCATCATCATCATCATTGTCATCATCATCATCATCATCATCATCATCATCATCATCATCATCATCATCGTCATCATCATCATCAACTTCATTATCATCATCATCGTCATCGTCATCGTTATCGTCATCGTCATCGTCATCATCAACATCCTCATCGTCATCATGATCATCGTCATCATCGTCATCATTATCATCATTATCCTCATCATCATCCTCATCAACCACATCATCATCATCATCATCATCATCTGTAACGCCCGTAGATCCGGGCTAGTCAATTTAGAGATAATAGGGGTCGAAAACGACTATTTGACAAAAGATTATTTAGAATAAATAATATTAACCAAATTGTAGAATATGTCTCAAGGGTTCCGTACATATAATGAACGTTGAAATCCGAGTTATAACGAAGAAGTTATGGACCGTCAAAGTTTTACGGCAAAACCGATACGACACCGGGAGAGGTAAATAGTGAATTTATGATGGATGAATTTTTAGCCGTAGAAATCTAAATAAAAGTTGTAGTATACGTTAACCCGAGAACATACAAAAAAAGAACGCCCAAATCTGACTTCGTATGAGGAAGTTATGAATTTTCTAAGATTTGACTTAGAAGTGCACAACCCGAAACTCGAATTTTAGATCGAGCGGTTTTTGGCCTATGCGGCCTAAATGAGAATTGAAGATCTCATTAATAGGAACTCAACGGTAAAAAGACAGACGAAAACAGAGTCCGTATGTAGAAGTTATGAATTTTACGCAGACATTTACATTATAATATCCTCGTACTGTTAAATTTAAGATCAGTCGAGAGTTAGCCGACGGAGTCAAAATGAAAGTTGTAGATCTTATTTTTACCTACGCGTGGTTATAAAGAACGTCAAAAACGGAGGTCGTATGTGAAAGTTACGGATTTTAGAAGTCAGAAGTGTGCTGTGCGAAAATGGGTGATGTGACACAATCTTGGCCATTGCTTTCTCCCCAAGTCTTGCCACTAGATGGTGACATGTGGCACCAAGTTCAGCCATTTTTCACCCTATAAATAGAACCTTTCCCATTCTTTCTTCTCTTTACTCTCTCTCTAGAACCTCTCTCTAGCCCCGAAACCCCCCAAAAAGCCTAGGGAACCTCCCTAGCACGAGGCGGAAGCCCCGGAGTGCTCGACGGCTCCGAGAAGAAGAGCTTTTTGGCTCGGGAATGCTGCTCCAAGCAATGCCCGATTTTCTATAAAACACGCTGTAAGTGAGCTACGCCTACGCTATTTTTAATATAGCTTTTATTTAATTATAGTAACGTTATTAGGAACTTATAATAAGTACTTGGACTATTATTATGGGTTATATAAGTATTGTTTAACGCTTATATAGTAGTAATAATAGCTAGACTATTAATTAGTCTCGGCGAATAATATACTAAACTCTAGTGGTAATAATACTAGGTTTCGTCGAAGGAAATTATTTTTAAGAAGCGAAGCGCTGTTTGAGTTCGGAATCACCACCTTTTCAAGTGAGTGCATGGTCCCTTTCATCTTACACATAGATATGAAGTATTTAATATAAATTACGTGCTATGTGTACATATTGTCTGAATACTTGCTGTCTATGCTGGGTGAAATATTTTTATACACGTTTTAAATTATTTAAATTGTATATGTATTTTATATCTACAAAACGTGTTGGGTAAAACATGGATAGATGTAATAGTTGCTGTGTGACCAAATAAAATAATGAGAGGCCTTGATATAGATGTTATTGATGATCCAGTCATCTAGCGGAGTATAGATGACGACCACGGACTATTCTAGACAGTACAGTGGAACGCTAGCAGGCTCGCAACCTGTAGGTGTTTATTTGAACTGTGTGCTCACCAGCAGTACTCCATCCCCCATATGGTTGCCTTATTTGACATGAATTGCTGAGGAAACCCCGAAGCA